CACTGGGCTCATGAAATGATACCCCACACCAATATGAGTATAATCTTTTTCTATGGAAAACCCAAAATATCTGTTCGATAAAAGCGTAAAATAGGAGGTACACAATGGCACTATCTGATAAAGATTCTGTGAAAGTGTCATTAAATTTCATTCAGTGGTATTATATAGAGGAGTTGCGAATAAGGGATGGCTAAACAACCCCCCCCCCCCATTCCCCAAGTCTGACGGATACGGAAAGACGTAAGAACGGACACCCACATCACTATGTAAAACCCCCCTTTTCAAGCTGGGAAATAATATTTCCTAAAATAATATAAGTGGGTCACCTGATATGTACCGTTTGGCCGAGAGCAGATTCATATTCTTAAGAGTTATCTCCCGTTGTCGGCGTATCACTCATTTTTCTCACTATATCCCTTGTAACTTATCTGAAAATATTTTCAATCTTCAAACGCTGTCGGACAATTTTGACCCGTTCCTGTATTGCCATAGTATGGGGCAACATAAAAAAACCATAATGAACATATTCATGCAGATTAAAATTGTAAGGCATTGTCCCATAAACTTGGTAATGTTATAGATTGTAAATTTCATATGTCAGCATTATTGTTAAATTTTTAGTCATTTCTTTTTTATATGCCCCCGTAAACGAAGATTCGGGGGCATATAGTTTTTGCCCTGATCGTCCGTCTGTCTGTTTGTCCGCAAAAACTTTAACCTTGCCCATAACTTTTGATTAGTTGGAGCTATGGCTTTCATATTTCACATGTGTATTCCTTGTGACAAGACCTTTCTTTAGGTACCATCATATATTTGACCTTGACCTTGAAGTTTGACCCACTTTTGCAAAATTTTATGAGACTTTAACCTTGGCCATAACTTTTTGAACACTTGGAGCTTGGGCTTTCAAATTCACAAGTGTATTCCTTGTGAGAAGGCCTTCCTTTGGATACCACCATCTTTGACCCTTTGACCTTGACCTTGGAGTTTGACCGACTGTTGAAAAAACTTTTACCTTGGCTATAACGTTTGAACAGCTTGAGCTAGGTCTTTCATATTTCGCATGTGTACTCCTTGTGACAAGACCTTTCTTTGCATACCAACAGCTTTGACCTTTTGACCTTGGAGTTTGACCTATTTCAATTTTGAAAAAAATTACCCTTGGCCTTAACTTTTGAACAGTTAGTGCTAGGGTTTTCATACTTCACATATGCATTCCTTGTAAGAAGAACTTCCTTTAGATACCAACAACTTTGACCCTTTGACCTTTACCTTGGATTTTGACCTACTTTCGAAAAACTTTAACCTTGGCCATTACTTTTGAACAGTTGGTGTTAGGGCTTTCATACTTCACATGTATATTCCTTGTGACAAGACCTTCCTTTGAAAACCAACAATTTTGGCATTGACGTTGACCTTGAAGTTTGACACTTTTAAAAAAAATTAACATTGGCAATAACATTTGAACATTTGGTTCTAGGGCTTTCACATTTCACCTTCATGTGTATCACTTGTGACAAGAACTTCCCTTGGGCACCATTTGACCTTGACCTTGCCGTTTTACTTACTTTAAAAAACTTTAACCTTCGCCATAACTTTTCAACGGTTTGTACTAGGGCTTTCATATTTCACAGGTATATTCCTTGAGACAAGACTTTTCTTTGGGTACCAGCATTTTTGATTTCTTGTCCTGGAGTTTGACTTGCATTTAAGAAACTTTAACCTTCGCCATAAGCTGCCATACGGGGGTTTCAGTGTTTCACAAACACATCTTGTTTTTATGCCCCCGTATCGGAGATTCGGGGGTATATAGTTTTTGATCTGTCCGTCCGTCTGTCTGTCTAGCTGTCTGTTTGTCCACAAAAACTTTGAAATTGCCCATAACTTTTGATTGGATGGAGCTATGGCTGTCATATTTCACATGTGTATTCCTTGTGACAAGACCTTTCTTTGGATACCATTATATTTGACCTTGACCTGGGAGTTTGAATCAGTTTTGCAAAATTTTACCGAACTTTAACCTTAGCCATAACTTTGGAACGGTTTGTGTTAGGGCTTTCATACTAAGATATGTAATCCTAGTGACGAGGATTCCTTTGGATACCAACAACTTTGACCCTTTGACCTTGGAGTTTGACCTACTTTAAGAAAACTTTAACCTTGGCCATTATTTTTGAACAATTAGTGCTAGGGCTTTCATATTTAACATGTCTATTCCTTCCGACAAGACCTTCTTTTGGATACCAACAATTGTAATCCATTGATCTTGACCTTGAAGTTTGGCATACTTTTGAAAAACTTTAACCTTGGCCATAACTTTTAAATGATTGGTGCTACGGCTTTCGTATATCACATGTGTATTTCTTGTGAGAAGGCCTTTCCTTAAGCACCATTAATTTTGACCATTTGGCCTTGACCTTGATGTTTGACATACTTTTGAAAAAACTTTAACTTTTTCCATATCTATTCAATTGTTGCTGCTAGGGCTTTCATATTTCACATGTATATTCCTCGAGACAAGACCTTACTTTGGGTACCAACATATTTGATAATTTGCATTTGAGAAAGTTTAACCTTTGCTATAAGTTGCCATACGGGGGCATCAGTGTTTCACAAACACATCCTGTTTCAGGATGCTTTTTATAATAAGTATTATTCAAACTATTTTATTTACATAAAATAAGATTACCCTGTATATTTATTGCCATGATTACATCTAGTAAAATATGATAAAGCCTAAAGTGATAAGGTTAAAAGAAACAATTTAAGTGCAGAAAGGTCAAGTTAATTGAACTGTTGCTCAGTAAGATGCACACTGACCCCCATTTTCTTTGTGACTTTGAGTCATGCTATATGAGTAGATATTTATAATATACTTCTCAAAAAAATCCTTGATATACCTTTTGTCAGGATTGACATAATATAAGGGAATTCCTCCTTGTTCAGCAAGAATTAAGGAAGAAATCTGAGAAAACAGTAAAAATTGTCACAGACAGAAAATGTTTCAGTCAATAGTGTCACTATACACCTGTCCACCTTCATTTACCAAAAAATTGTGAAGCCCACAGGATTCTGTGACCTCCACTCCCCCTCCCTCCCTCACTCCTCCCCTTCCTTACACACACCAGATGGCAAGTCAGATTTCATCATATCAGTATGTATGCCATTCTAAATCCGAAACATCAGGATTCATTTTGTTAATCATTATAATGTTCAAAAGACTTGGTAAAATGTTTAAATATGTCAGGCACATATTTGATTGCTTCACAACTTTAAGGAAAATATTAATGTAGTTCAGCAGGTCAACAGTTAGTCTTTAGTTTTCTGGAGTAGAGTACAAATCACATTAGTTAAATTTTTCAAGAAAAAATTAACAAAAATTGTTTTTTTCATGCACACACACACACACAAATCTTATTTGCCCCACTTTTGTGAAAGGAACATGAAATCTCATTTGTCTGTCCCATAGGCACTCCCCAGCTTAATATTTAAAAATATATATCTACTATACAATAAATATTATATTTATAGGTTAGTAGATATATATATTTTTAACAATTAAGCTGGGGATTGCCTATGGTTTGTCTGTCCATCTGTCACACAAAGTTTAACCTTGGTCATAACTTTTGAATGAGAAAAAAATTTCCCACCTGCATTACTTGTGACAAGAACTTTCCTAATATACTATAATTTTTGATCCCAAGACCTTGACCTTGAAGTTTGACCTACTTTTAAAAAAAATATATAACATTGGTAATATTTTTTGAATGAGCATCCTCACATCATCAGGGATTCTGATTTCACTCGTGGCTGTGGGACCCCTGAAAAACTTCATTTGTTTTTTTTTTTTTTCCAGACTTGCTTTTCTCATTCAGAAGTACCAATCAAATTTGGGCTTTTATAAATAGACAGAAAACGTATACAGAAAGTACACAGTTGAAATATCAATGCAGGTTTTTTGTCAATACAAGGCTAATGTGATTGGTCAATAGATAAGAAATACAATCACGATTTGTAATTTTTCCGACCAAAAGATGTCGCTGCAGTCAGCCTGTAAAATATGAAGTTGTCAGGGGTGTCACGGCCACAAGTGGACTCAAAACCCCTGACGTTACGGCTTGTGAGGCATGTTGAACGAGAGACGATAAGCTTGGTCATAACTTTTGAATGAGAGAAGATAATGCTTCCATATTTCACATGTGTATTACCTCATTTATCTGTGACAAGATCTTTCTGAATGTACTATAATATTTTATCCCATGACCTTGAAGTTTGACCTACGGTACTTTTCACATTGGTTAAACTTTTGAAAGAGAAAAGATAGGGCTCTTATATTTCACTCATGAATTACCTGTGACAAGAGACCTTTACTATTGTTTTTGACCTCGTGACCATTACCCTAAAGTTTAACCTACTTTTCAGAAATTTTAACGTTGTAATAGTTTTTGATTGAGAAATTATCATTTTTGACCTCATTACCTCTAAGTTTGACCTATTTTTAATGAATAAAAAACTTTGGTTATAGCTTTGTTCTTGAAGAAACAGGACATCATATTTTTATGTGCATAACCTTGACCTTTTCCAATATACGATTTTTGACCCCATTTCCTTGACCTTGCAGTTTGACCTAATTTTCCCAAAAAAAAAATTACCTTGGCACAAGTAGATGGGCCTTTAATTCTTATTTCTTAAATATATGTATTACTTGTGACAAGATTTTTCAGAATGTAAAATGATTTTTGATCTCATGTCCTAGACCAGTTTTACTTTCAAGAATTCCAAAATTTTGCACCAAAACATATTGCTTCCAAAATATAAAACATATTGTTTTTTTTTGCATGGTGGACAAACAAGCCAGGACAGACAAGATAGTTAATATTGTAATATGTCTTAAATCATAGCAACCCAACCAATAAACCAACTAAAAGTGGGGAACCACAATTCTCTGAATTTGTTTGTTTCACATTACACTAAAAAATCAAATGAGAAAAAAAACCCTGCTATTTTCATTACTTTTATTTTACAATTTATAATATTATAATTCTACAAGTCCTTTCCCATTCTGTCACCAACTAAATCATCCTTTGACCATATTGATTCTCCGAGCCTATAAAATCTTCTGTGTTTAAAATCCTGGTAAACAAAATTCTTATACTTTCCTTCAGTTAGATCATCCTTAAATCGACGACTTTTCCCAACAATTTGAAACTGCCTATGTCTTTTTTTACTTGTACACTCAACAAATAGTTGACCATGTCTGGTAACAAAATAGCAATGTCTGCATCTTAACTTTGGAACACCTCTTGGTTGATATGCTCGTGTTTGCTCTAGTTTAATGATGGATGGCATTAATAAATGTTGTGTGGAGGTAAACTGTGTTATATAGGAACTGATAGAACATTTCTGGTACACCGTGGAGAAGCTTCTACTAATGCTGCTGGTTTGTAGCAAGGGGGGAAGAAGGACTCTGGTTGCTCTCAAGAAAGAGGATAAGGAATTCATCATAACTGTTCACTTGTACTTCAAGGCTACAAAAGAAAATACATTCTAATATTCAAAATTTAAAAAAAAAATTCCTTTTCACCATCAATGAAAACTACCATTATTCGCTGTTGCTTTCTGAATTTGCACATCTGAAGGAGACATTAACTAGGACCATGAGACATTAGAGATGAATATAGAACAAATAGTTATAGAGCGTTGGTCATGTTGGAAGGTTGGCGAGTATGTAGATAAGTCCGAATTTCCTCTAATGAAACTATTTTATTACACAAAGTATAACGAGGCGTTGAAACGCATTAACAACTAGGAACATATTTCTTTTTGTATAATAAACTTTTTAACGTGTACCTCAAGAGTCTGATTCATTGTCAATAATACCTGAATTAACAAAACATAATGGTCATAAATTCACGCATATGCAGGTCACTCACTGGTTCCGGAAAACACAAATTGAAATCGGTTTGGCTTTTACTAAATACTAATAGTACGTACGAAAAATGATTCGGATTTGATGTCTGTGTTATAATCCAATGATACATGTAAATGTGAAAGTACGTTCAAGTTTTTCACAGATAAATATTAAAGGGGGTGCTGGTCGCTAAGAGATTATCTACATAATATTCTTTGCTTTGAAGTCACTGAACATAAATGGGGGAAGGGGGGGGGTGATAAGTATCTAGCGTAAAAGCCTAAGAAAAAAGAAATTGACAATCCCCCCCCCCCAAAAAAAGAAGATTATTCATTACTTGCAAATGCACTGAAAGAAAACATGTATCATAACAGTGAAAAGAACTGAAACAAATTAGGAATATCCTGTGATAATATATTTTCAAAAAAACAAAACTACAATCAGAAGTATATCAGTGATAAGGCGAAAAAAGAGTTAAAGATAAAGTAAAAACTTGCCAGAGAATGTGCTATTATTTGGAAAGGTAAATTACGAACATGTGCTTTATTTAAACCAACACTAAGTAGAGAGGAATATTTTTCAACACAGTTCAATTTTACATGATGTTACAAGATGTACTCATTCAGGTGCTGAACAAATTTTCATGTAACTTCTCATAAATTTAGTAATTGAATTGACAGATATAGAAATACATGTATTCCTGTCGAAGATGGAAAATGTAGAAATTGCAACTCAAACTCGATAGAGGACGAAAATCATTTTACATTTGAATAGCTGTTGAATGTCCTAGATTTGAACCACAAAGAAAAGAACTTGTTAGAATACATTCAAAATCAAAATGAAATTTCCTCCACTTTATCAACTTAGAATAAATTATGTGGCTCATGACAAGTGAAAATAGTGAAATAGTAATTAAATCGTTTACAGAATATATATTGAAATGTTTTCAAACAAGAAACAATATTATCACAGGATGAATATACATGTTTAGCCATTATATAAAATTTATCTGAATTATTTGGAGATGTATTTCAACATTTATATAATTTCTGTCTCATTGTTTGTTTGTTTCTTCTGTTATCTAGTTTGATGTTATTCTTATATGCCCTCAATGGGCTCAAAATTGGAAATAAATATAGTTAGCTTACTTACGAACAATATTTACCAGCTTATCGGGGACCTACTATCTAGTATATAAATTCCCTGGTACTTACTTATAATAATATACGTTCCTGTCATAATCAGGGACCTATGGGTCCCTGAAAACACTTGCTATGTTACTAATGTCTCTGATATCACTTATTTTATAAAAAAAATAAATGGTAAAAGTCCAAAGAGGAAATAATTACTCTCCCCCCCTCTCTCTCTCTCTTTCTCTCTAACTCTCTAGTGCGCGCGATTCCTTATCATTTTTAACCAATCAGAAACCTGATTTTATTCCATGTGTGACAGGGGAAAGTGTCGGCTTTTGTTTTGCAGTCGAACGCGACAGTGAAAGTAGAGAGCTTCTAGCACTATTATTTGGGTATGTTTTGGAAAAATGTACATGTATGATGTATTCAGTATCACGTTCCCTTATATGCAAGAAAGGAACTGCAGACTGACCTATATTGTAGGATCTCAGCTGTTCATGCCGTTTCACAAATTCACGGCGTAGATTACATTTGAGCAGCACAGTTTATCAGTTCATGAGACATGTGCTGATGTGTGGTGTATGGCATTGAATAGTTGAATTCTTTCTGATTACAACAAACTTTATAATTGGATGCATATTATTTAGAGCTAATGAATCCCAATGATCTAAGAACAATATCGGAGCACAGGTACTTGGGTCTTTGTTTATAAATATGTACCTTATTGGTATGTAAATAAAAAAAAATAATAAATACTTTTTTTACATACCAATAAGGTACATACATGTTTATAAACCAAGACCCAAGTACCTGTGTATCAGAGTGTTATATTATGTGAGATATAGTATTGAAGGAAATTTAAATCATGCTTGAAACTGGGTAGATGTTACTTCACCGGTCCCCAATCTGTAAGATCCACACGCTCATTGAACTATGACATATGATTTACGTTACTCAACTGATAAGAGTTTGTCTTGCACACCACTCCTCTGACGAGGGTTAGTCTTGCACCCCCTAAGAGGTGGTTGTATCTTCGTTCGCCCTATAACTTGTTCGCCCTTGATGCTGTTCGCCCTCATTCCTGTTTGCCCAGAGTTCGATCGCCCTAAAACTTGTTCGCACAGGGTCCGTTCGCCTTATTTATATTGCAGAAAGTTGAATAATGAACCAATGGATTTTTAAAATAAATTATATGTACATTGGTACATAAATTGCACACAGGAGACAACAGACGTATGCATGTGGTCACACTATAAATACCTGTACTATCAAAGACCCGCAGACCAACAGAAATTAACGTCTCAGTCCTTTAATTGTTTTCAAAACATAATGGAAATTGTATGATCCCCTAAATTACAGTGACATTATTAAGTATAATTAAATCAATTAAGCATGTAAAGAGCATAAATATCAAATTTGAATTATTTAAATAAGATTACGGTAATTAAATAAAAAAATACTGTAGCAACATTTAAAAAAAAAACACCAAGTCGCAAAATATTGAATATAATTAATAATAAATGTTGATATTTACTATATACTGTATATATAATAGGGCAAACGAGATATAGGGCGAACAAGAATAATGGTGAACGGACTCATGCGAACAGGTAGATAGGGCGAACAAACCTGATACCGTAAGAGGTTAGGGTTAGTTCTAGCACAAGTATTCCACTGATTAGGGTTAGTTTCGCACCCATCCAAGAAATTAGGGTTAGTCTAGCATTCACCTGGGAGATTTGGGTTAGTCCTCTCATACCACCCCAGAGATTAGGGTTAGTGTCTTGTTCTTTCAGATAAATGAAGAAATTCTGGTGCATCTGTAATTTTTTGCAAGATCTTTCACATCTCCTTCATGGCTTGGTTTGCTTACATGATAAAATGGCCAAGTACAAAAGAAACAACATTAAGCATGCACCCAAGGCTCTAGATTCTCTATAATTGGGGCCTTCGAATGGCCCCGTTCCCAATGCAAAAAAGGTACCTTATTTCCCAAAAGAAAGGTGTAAAAATCTCAATTTTCTGTAGCAAAATATTTTTCAAAAAATCAAATTCAGTGAAACTTGTTCGCCCAAAAACAAACACTTAGAAGTGAAAGTGAAACAAATAGGTTCTATGTACGACTGTATTAATTAGTTCACGTCATACATATTTGTAAACTGGTTCAGGGAACCAGGTTATTGTTATTACGGACTAAAGTAACAATGAGTCATAATGTGAAGAATTTTGTCTGACTCAATAAAATTTACAAGAAAACATCATCTAGGTGCCATAAAATAGACATTTTATTTCAACAAGAGTAAGCTGCGCCTAGCACCACGTGCGCCAGTCAGTTTCACGCTTAATCTGAAAACCACGATGACCATATGATCGAGGAAATTTGAGAGGATGTGACTAGCGACTGTTACTCAGAGACAAATAACCACAATTTCAACACTAAAATTTAGTAATGAGCAAAGCCAATGTACTTCCATAAATATCCTATCCATATTTCTTCTGTGTAACAATTTATTCAAAACCAGAATTGATGACAAAATGCTAGAAAAGCAAAATTTGAGGGTTTTTTTTAATGAATGTTGGATTTCCCAATTTTCCCAAAATGATGGTAATTTTTCAATTTGAACAGCCCCGGCCCCAGTCCCAAAAAGTGGTGTGAGAGCCCTGGCACCACACAGGTCCTGACAAATTTTCATGGAATAAGCAGAAATATTTATTGAGTGTTTTAGAGAACAGGTTAAAAACTTTGTTTAAAAACAGAGTTTTAAACTAAATTTTTAACCATAGAATTCAATTTTGGAGTCAGAAAGACCTTAAATTTCATACTTTAATTTTTTTTTAATTGCTCAAGAGATCTCATATATATTGAAGTTGCCAACAGCAACACTGTATTCTAGTGAGTTTTTCTGGGGACTGGTAAAATCGTTCCGAAATACTAATTATTGACAATCATTTGTTTTATGTGTGTCAATACATGCAAATTTGTTTGCCCACTGCAAAATTTATGCTTCTTGGGCGGTCAGGTGCACGGTTATTTCAAACACTGCAATAACATCACATATCAATCAAGCACATGTTATGGACTTCATTTTAGTTTTCAATAGGGCTGTCATGGTTCCCCGAAATAACCGAAAACCGCGGACCAAGTTGTTCGGTTCGGTTTCAGTTCCATTTTTTCGGATTTTGGTTTGGGTCAGATTTATATTTTAGAATCTGTTTTATACGAAAAATGGTGTCGAAATTAAAAGAATGATAACGATAACAGTGATAAGTAAATATCACAACTGAAATATACTTCATCCATGACAAAATTCTTGTAACGAAAGGATGGGATTATTATCAAACGGGCAAGAATGGTCATGTATTAGCTAATCGTCGGCTTCGTAGTCCCAAACACAGATATAAAGACGTTAACATGGTTAAGACTATTTTTCGTGGTGAATTTAATGTAACAAATAAAGATTTCTTAAGTTTTATTCTTGAAATTAAGGTTTAAAATAGAAGTAAATAACCGAACCGAAAACGAACTGAAAATTTACAGAACAGACCCGACCCGAAAAATTCTGGAACCGCGACAGCCCTAGTTTTCAAGTTAACAGAATAAGAAGTTCGGTTAAGTAAATGTCTTGGTCACTTATCCGAATAGACAAGTAGGAAAAAAAGTTAATATAGAGCCCTGAGTCATTATAGCTAGTTGGGCTAGTTATCATGAGGTCCAGTTGTGGTGAGTTAGTAGGTGTCTGAGGTACTTTTGTGATGGCAGTCATTATACTTATAGCTAGTTGGGCTGGATATCATGAGGTCCCATTATAGTGAGATAGTAGGTATCTGAGGTAGTCTTGTTATGGCAGCCATTATACCGTATATACTCGCCTATAAGTCGGTTTTTTGGGAGTTAACTTTTGGTCCAAAACTCTATGTCCGACTTATAGGCGAGTCATCAAAAGCTTGGTATTTTTCTAGACGATGAAATGTAGTATTTTTAACATAACTCTAGTGTTTAATCTAAAGCAAACTAGCATGGCGCGGCGCCATGCCCTTTTCTCTCGGCGCCATGCCCTTTTTTCCAGCGCCATGCCCTTTTTTCCTTGCAAAAATATATAAATATGCCTAGCAGAGGCAAGATGGACTAGCGGCTTTGTTTATTCAGTGCATGCTGATTAGCCCCTTTGTTTATTTAATGCACGCAAAGGTGTGAATTCAGGACAGGAAATCACTTCTCGCTTGAACAGGTCTAGGCGGCCTCTGTTTTTGGAGGATAGATTTTATCCTCTGAAAACAGAGGATAGCGGTCTTGCCACCTACCGGAATTTTCAAAACTAAGGGCAGTTAACTCCTAAGTAAACAAATAACAGCAACTCTTGCATTTATGAACCGTACGCTGATTTTGAAATCAAAACAAATAAAAGGTACAATTTTATATGATTATGGATAATTCCAGATATTAAATCAATATAACTATATTTTTTAATTGCCGTCAATCAGTTATTCGGTATACAGCTTGGAAAACAAATATTGCACTTAGCCACTTACCTGCCTGTGACTGAGGTTAATTATAACCACGCTGATTTTACAGTACCGTAATTATGTGATAAGCAGTTTAGAAATTTTGATAAACAATTTTTTTGAAAAATTAAGTTCAATAATTTATTATTTCTTTCATTTAATAATTCTTAAGCACATCACTTTGTAATATTTTATTTGTTTGTGTGTACACATGGCTGTATGAATATATGTTAATTTCTTAGTAAACATGTCAAATTATTTATTTTATTTACTTATGCTATTCAAATTATTTATTTATTTTTTATAATTATTCTTTCAATCCATTTGTACTTTTATTTGCGTAAATTATAAGGCAGAGTATATTTTGCTTTTAAATATGCTTAAAATGTGTTTCCTTTTGTGTTTCCTTTTTTTGAATTAAAAGAAAATATAAAAGAAATATTAAAGTCCTTTTTCATTTGTCTAAATGGGGAAAAATCATAAAAAATAAAACAAAATAACAAGAAATATTCAGTAATAATGGAGCGCAAAAAGTGCTAACTTTGAAAATAAATTGCAAAATATCTAGACATAGAATCTCAAATCGCCACATACAATCCATAGTTTAATGTTTGAACTTTTATTTGCATGTACTCTGGTGCTTGCACTTTTTGATTAAAGGTAGGCACGAGGTGTTTGAAAATTACCTGTGTTATCCTCTTAAATCGGAGGATAAACTATCCCACAATGCAACGCGGTTTCCATATATGGTAAAAATTTTGGCCGCCATATTGAATTTAGCTATCCTCCAAAAACGGAGTCCGCCCAGACCTGTTGAACGCACACAGCCACCTGGCCAGGTAACATGCCTCAGGCAGTTAGGGTATAAGAGATAACACGAGAAAATATCATTTGATTGCATTGATTATGCAAGAATTAGTCCAATGTCAAACGTAGATTAATTTGTAATTTAAAATGTTACACATTTTAAATCAGGATCGTTTTTTTTAAATTGATAGTAGAAAAAACAGAGTTGATGAAGAAATGTGAAAAATAAATCTGCTGGTGAATTAAGTCAACTTACAATGTACAGTACCAAAAAAAACTGAATATTATGTGTGAAATGGGCTAGGAAACAACGAAGTATGAAGTTAGTTTCTTTCAACATGTTCAGTGATTCTGTGTTCTAACTTTTTGGGTTGACACCCAGAGGCTCAATGTTTCTAAGCCAGAAAAAAAAGTTTTAACCAATTTTTATATTATTTCAAGTTTAATTTTTTGGTATGATCAGTTTTCACTTGATTTTGTTGGTAGATTATTTTCAAAATAAAGAGAATGCCCTCTACATTTATTATCCAAGTAGCCCCCCCCCCCCCCCCTTTGCAATTTTGTTCTGTTATTTACCTCATACACAAATAACAATATTAAAGCAAGAAAAAAATTCATACCCCAAACTAAAATAATTCTTGAGCAAGTGACAAAAAGATAAAAGATTCACACCTATTACTTTTTAAGCATAACCTTGATAACCATACTAATTTCTTGATTAAAAAAATTTGAATTTAAATTTTGGCAATAATTGCCCTCTCAGTGTGTATTAAATGAATTAAGCTGACAGATTTATAATTTTTTCTTTTAGATACTTGTATAACTAAAGATTTCAGTATTAAATAATAATTTAAGTACATAAACATGATAAAGAAAATATTTTATAATTTCAAAGACGTTAAAAAAGTGCCTTCATGAAAACTTGTCGTGGTGTAAAGTGCCCTTTTGATTATTGGATTACCATGCCCTTTTTAGGGTCTGGATTTAACACTATAACTCCGACGATTATCGTTGAGAAATGTCTGGATGTATTATATTATTTATGTATTCTAAGATTATATATAAAGTACAAATATTTACATGTTTTAATGATTTTATTTTGATCTTAAGTGTATATTATTTATTTGATTAATTATAAACAAAAATATTTCTTTAATTAACTTGTGACTTACTGTAAATCTATTGTCTGTCGGTAAAATTGAATTGCGAACCCGATATACTGGTAATACGTTCAGCATTAATGTATAATTATATGTACTGTGCAATGTTTTTGACAACAGAAATAATATTCTTTAAAAATAATTCAGAATATTATTCTGGGGATATTAAAACTCGATTGTTTATGAAAATGCTTCCCATGTGTAGTACATGATTTTCTCAGGGCGCATGCCACTAAATAAACACAGTGTCAGGTAAGGGATACAGGTAATTAAGAGACAATAATTGCTAATAAAAGATTAAACATAGCTTTATTAAAAACTATAGATATGGCTTGGACATTGAGCACCTCCTAATTAAATATCATCAAAATGTTACTAGCCTCGTTACATAGTTCTTCACCATGCCAAAGAGACCGAGATCCGCCTATGATCGAGATCGGTGTATAAAATATACAAGACAAGGAATTTAACGCTTAAACAAAACAGTTTAATTATAAAAAAGAAAACTAAAATGGTAGTGGTTTGGTTTGTTGAAAAATAAAAATATTAATTACCGATGTCATATCCTAACATATTATTTGAACACAGGTAAATACATTAGAGTATTGATATGGAATTTATAAGAGAAGACAAAAGAGAGATAAAATATCGGCGTAAATTCTCAAAATATTATTTGAAACACATGTTAAAACATTAGAGCATTGATTTGAAATTGTCCACCGATCCTGGCAAAAAGTTGTACCGACTTATAGGCGGGTCAATGGCAAATACCTCCAAAATAACCTCAAAAATCACAACTGACTTATAGGCGGACCGACTTATAGGAGAGTATATACGGTACTTACAGCTAATTGGATTGGATATTCTGAGAGCTATTGGATACCATTAACATTGACAGCAGAGTGATCAGAAACTTTCTGGAGCAGGTTCATTTAACTATAAGCCCTAAATGGACCAAACTTGCATTTATGATACATCTAGTGATGCACACTACTACACTTGCTTTGGAAGCTGGATCTGGCTCAGGGGTCATTATACTTTTGATCTTGTATCACTTTTACAAATACATTCCTATTGTATAAGTGAGACTGATATCAAAAAGTAAGCTCATATATGTTTTACATGATGAGCTTGATCTAGAGCATAACTATAAGCCTTATGTTGACTTAACTTGCATGGATGATGTATCTAGGAATACACGCTACCAGACTTGTTTAGGATGTTGGACCTGACCTACATTTTCCAGATGAGTGAATAGGTTAAAGCTTTTTGAGCAGGTCAATTCCCAAGTAACTATAAGCCCTACTTAGACAAATATACATGGATGATTCATCTAGGGATGACAGCTACCAGACTTTCTTTGATTCTGGATCTGACCTAGATTTTCTGATGAAGTTTTTTATACCCCCACGCAACAAGTTGCTGGGGGTATAATGTTTTTGACCCGTCCGTCAGTCAGTCCATCCGTCAGTCCTGTTTTTTTGTCAGCGCAACTCCTCAAAAACCTCTGCACAGAATTTCATCAAACTTTACAGATATTTAGGACACAATCATCTTCGCTAGCCAAGAGTTTCTGATTCGCTACTCTCCTCATAAGCCCTTGGCATACGGTGTTAAAAAAAGTTGGGATTTTTTTCTCAAGTTGTGATTGGAGTTGATCGACATCGTTCGACCAATCAGCAATTGTTTTTTGTAAATGACGATATTTGCGTTTGGGATATATCTTGACTCTTTAATATCGGTAATGTAAAACGCAAGTAAACAATAGTCCGTAAGATAACATGCCATTCTATGAATAGCTATATGGTGTCATCCGTGCAAAATATGTGATTAAGAATCTATACTGAAGATGTAGATTTGCATTTTTACATGTTTAGATAACAAATTAACATAACTTGATACCTTCTTGTTTATTATTCTTTAAAAACAATTTTTTTTTTAAATACGCTTTTTATTTCTTTCGATGACGCAATCTGTGCGTACCTGGTAAGAATCATGATCACGTGACAAAAACAATCCCGTCTTTTGTCAGCACCGTATGCCAAGGGTTTATGAGGAGAGTAGCGTATCAGAAACCCTTGGCTAGCGAAGATGGGACACAATGTGTAGATGTGCATATTACCAGGAAATTCTGATTCCCTTATTTTTCTAGGAATTTCGGCACTTTTCAACTTAGATTTTCGGCCATATCTTGAATATAGAGATGAACAGTTTGTCAGTGCAACTCTCTTAAACCGCTGCACAGAATTTGGTCAGACTTTGCAGATATTTTGTACACAGTGTGTAGATGTGCATATTACCAGGAAATTCCGATTCCATTATTTTTTCCCTAAGAGTTTTCCCTATTATTGAAGAAACTTTCCAGCTAGGTAATAAGGAAATCCACTGGAATCAGCTTTTGTAATGAAATTTTATGCGAAATATTTTATGAGTTTAAAAGACCCCTATTGATTTTGAGATCAGAATAACCCCCCCCCCCCCCCCCCTCAAATTGGTGCTTTGCCTTAAATAATTTCATAAGTACAGTATATAAACAAATTCATATGACTACATCATAACTTTGTTTCCATCAATTATTTAAATGTGTAAATTGTCATGTGTTGAAAATGGACTTACACTCATTAACAAATCGAAATCACTGAGGAATTTAAATAACAGTTTGTCAGGATAACTCCTGCACTGAATTTCCTGAAACTTTGTAGGTATTCCAAACATAATATATAGATTTGTATATTACCAAGAAATTTTTATTCCATTATTTATCTAGAAAATTCAGCCCAGTTAAAGAGCAATATATGATAAGTGTCTCAAATGTCCCCTTAAAATGATTATCTCAATTTTACTTTGTACATAGCTTTACCGGGTACTTTGAACAGCTATACACGTAACCTTTATTCGTAATTTTCAATATGATTAAAATGCCATTAATTTAGAAATATGACCTCAGAAAGTTCACCTTTTCCCGCCATATTAGCATATTTTGTATAAAACTGCTTATTTTAAGTAGTTTTTCTTTCAGAAAATATTAATCCTTTGTAGCATACAAAAGATTTGAATGTTCTTATATATGCAAGAAGTTTTGATGTGATGATTTTTTGCAAGTTATGCCCCTTTTTGAATAATACTGTGTATTTAAAATGCACTGTGCCATTCATTACCTGTTGCATTGTCGAGTTTTGCGGGAGCGTGGGGTATGTGAGCTTGCTCACTTTTTCTTTTATTTTAAAGAGATTTATTCCCAGGTTACTGTATGCCCTTTGCTGACCAAACTTCCATCTAGGAATGCACACTGCCAGACTTGCTTCAGATGCTGAATCTTACTAAATTTTCTAGGTGATTGAACAAAAAAAGTATTTTGAGCAATTTCATTCCCAAGTAACTAAAAATCCTACTCACACCAAACTTGCATTAATGTTGCATCTAGGGATTTTCACTATCAGACCATTTGTTGGGTGTGAGACTTTGCTTACTATTTCTTATTGAAGCGAGCTTTGTAATTTTTTGATTACTTTTGTTTTCCAAATCCTTACAGTTATTCTTTTTTTTTTTTAATTTTAGAATCATCCTAATGTGAAAGCAAGCTGCAGTTAATCTGTAAGTAAAGTTCATAGCAATATAAGGATAGGAATTCAGTGATATTTGTATAATGGTAAACATGGTAAAGACATAGTTATAACATGTATAAATACAGTTGATATGGACTGAATGTATTCTTATTGCCACTTTCTTGAAAGTGCTGGGACATTAAATCCCATTTATCCATCTGTCTTACCTTCTGTCTGTCAGTCTGAGTGTCAAAAGGTCATATTAACTTAGAGGAGAGATAATGCTTTCATATTTCACAGGCTAAGCTATGACATTTCTGAATATACTATAATTTTTAGCCCACCTGAGCTGAAAACTCATGACCCCTGGGGGTAGGGTGGGGCCACAATAGGGAATCCAAGTTTTACATTGAAATATATTGGAAAAATCTTAAAAAATATTCTTCTCAAGAACCACCGGGCCAGAAAAGCTGAAACTTCTGTGGAAACATCTTTGGTTAGTGTAGATCCTAATTAAATTGTCAAAATCATGACCCCTGGGGGTAGGGTGGGGTCACAGTAGGTAATACAAGGGGGGAAGCATGGCTGAAGTTATTCAGGTGAGTGATGTGGCCCATGGGTCTCTTGTTTACCCATTCCTGTATTTATTTTTGTAAATGGGGCAAACCATTGCTTTAAAATAAGACTCATTTACATAGTTAGCTCACCTGAGCCAAAGCTTAGAGGCATATTTCAACCAAGTATACCACAAAGCATCCATGGGTAAAGAGACTAAAGTTTCCTATGCCTCCTTTCAGTGGGAAATTTAAAAAAAAAATGGTGAAAATTCAGTAGCATCATTTAAAAAATCTCAAGACTCACTGGGCCAGAAAAGAAATCTTATGTGAATTCTTCATTTCTTCATTATATGGGTATATTCATGTTTGTTCAAATACTCTCTCCCCCCCCCCCCCCCCAAGGCTCAAGTGAGATTTTTTGATTGAAATTTTTTTTGCAATTGTTTTCATCGGTGTAATAAACTTTTCACATTTTCATTCTCTTAAGAATCACTGGGCCATTTTCAACTAAACTTGCCACAAAACATCCTCCTTGGATTAGGGAATTCAAGTTTGTTTAAATGAAGGGCCATGCCCTATTTTGAGCGGAGATAATTACGAATTAGGGAAAATTTAATGGCATCTTTTAAAAATCTTCCTCTCAAGAACCACTGGCCCAGAAAAGCTTCATTACATAGTGTAGATTCAAGTTTGTTCAAATCATGTTCCCCAGGGGTAGGGTGGGGCCACAATGAGCAAAAGTTTTACATAGGAAAATAACACGAAATACACACGAAAATTTAGGAAAAATCTTTCACAATAATCTTCTCAAGAATAACAGAGCGATAATTATTAATATTTATGAGGAAACATCCTTAGATATGTAGATTCAAGATTGCTCGAACCATGAGGTAGGATGGGGCCATAATGGGTGATCAAAGTTTAACACAGGAATATATAGGATTTTTAAAAAAAAAAAAAAAATCTTCTTCTCAAGAAGAGCAAAGCTGTGGTTACCAGTAGTCATATTTATACAGAAGCATCCTCAGGTAGTGTAGACTAATGTTTGTTCAAATCATGACCCCAGGGGGTAGGATGCAGCCACAAGGTGTGATCAAAGTTTTACATAGGAGTATATAGGAAAATCAAAATTTTCTTTTCAAGAACAGCAAAGCTATGATTAGTCATATTAATACAGAATCTTCCTGGGGTAGTGTAGATTCAAGTTTATTCAAATTTTGACTTTGGGGGTAGGGTGGGGTCACAAAGTATATGGTCTAAGTTTTACATAGGAATATATATAGGGGGAGGGGGTGTGCTGATGCAGACCATACAGCAGGACCATAGTGACTCAGGTGAGCATTGTGGCTCATTGGCCTCTTAAAGTATGAATATTGCATGCAAAATTGAAGGCAAACACTGGGAAAGAAGGCTTCATTTTTAATTCATTCAATATTACACTATTAGAATACTGTACTTGTTCTTGAGTCATCCTTTAAAATCTTCATTTCCAATTCTAAAAAAATTGCACTCTTCTGATAATCAATATAACAAATTAGATATAAATAGATTCAGCTTTTGCTGATAGTACTGAAACTAATATGTTAAAGAGGAAAATCATTGCACAAAAATGGGTATACTTTTGTAATCTTCAATTTCTTTTATTGAAAACCACACCTTATTAAGCGCACATTGTATTTACTTGAATTACTCAAAGGTAGTTAAAGCCAACCTTCCACCCTAACCCCCCTCCTCCCTAATAGGGTACTTACTAGGGCAAATATGTGGCAAGATATACTAGTGCTTGTTACTGTAAATAGTAACATGTTAAAACTATGTACAGACATCCTTATATTATGGTTAATTGGTAAGGAAGAATGGTATCAATGTAGAACATAACCTCTCTTTGTGTAGTCTATGTAATAATGAATCAATAACAAACATGTCCCATTATCTCAGCTGCTGCTCTACTTTCAGAATTTTATGTTTATCTCGGTCAAATAGAAATCATTAGTGCACTTAAGTCCAGCTCAGTGCAGACTTGGTACACATTAGTGCAGATTGTATGCTCAGAGTTCATGAAAACTCGACCATTTGAGTGCAAGTAAAGTGCATGAGGGACATGTTTAGGCAGATAGGGTAATGACTGTAAACTGAGAGGAGAAATAATAATAGACAGATCAAATCAATACCTGTCATTAGTTTGTAATAACATGTAGAAGTAAATAGGTTTTTAAGCATTGAAAAAATTGTGTGTGTTGTTTTTATTTTTCAATTACATTTTGCTATAACCTAGATAGCATAAGATTTTATGGGAAAATAGTGAAAAAAAAAGAAACTTAAGACATTCAAACCTGACACAGAGAAAATAATTTATTTTGGAATTGATTTCAGCATATCTCCGGAATTATATGGAATTTCAGAATGAACTTTAGTATTTATGTAGATTGTTTATATACACTAGACAAAATTGCTAATGCACCACTTATTATTCTTATTTGTGAATTGATCATTATCCTGATTGGTACTAGTATATAAAATATGCCATCTTTTCCAAAACAGTTGGATTGACAAATGTCTTGGTGTCATGTCAAGACCCTTAAAGGACCTTCTTGTCCGAAAACCAATTTCCCGATGTGCACTGCGCACCGTTTTTGCCAAGATATGAAGTTGTTGATTACCGATGGTGGTCCGTGACGTTGCGACGGGAGCAGTCTCCCACTTAAAAATCAAATGATATACCCTGATTGACTACCATATCGCTTAGTAGTCACCCAGTGCCTTGGTGTCCCTACCAAATCCACCCAACTTCCAGTTGCCCCAATTTTGTGGAACAATCTTGATATTATTGTGTAGTGCTCACTTAATGCCTTCGATATCTATTATAAACATTTTTATGATGGTTAATTCATTTTCAACAATTTTTCACCTGAGAAATTCATAATCATTTAATTCTTTTAATTTCTTACAAATTTCTTCAAAGGAACCCCCTGTAGACACCATACTGGCTGCCTTAGCACGCTCTTCTAGAGTCAAACGCCGCATACGGTGTAACTTTTTTTCTGAGTTTTTAATAAGTACAAACATAAAGAACACAACCACAAAGAAAAAATTAGAAATTAATTCCACCAAAAAAGTATAAATGTGATTTTAATTTTTCCTATGAAGTGGTTACACTTCAGTAAACATTGTTGTTATTTATCAGTTAAAGCATTAAAAAGTCTCATTTTATACTAAAGTAACATAATTACATATCAAAAACATCATAAACAAGTTTTGAAAAGAAAAATGTTAATTTATTTAGGTGGTGCATTAGCAATTTTGTCTAGTGTATGAATAGATATGAATAGAAAGTAAAATTTAAGTACATTTGATTTAAAAGTATTTCATTGGCAAAAGTGGGTACCCCCTGTAAGGAGTTCCATACCTTAATGGTCTAAATTTTTTGTAAGTCGGATTAAAGTGATCTAAAGGCCTGTTTGAAATATGCCTGAAATTCATAGTTTTGTTTTTTTTTTTTATAATATTCAGATAAGTTTCTAAACAGATTTTTATAATAAATTGGTCTGAAAGGCTCTTGCAAAATACCGGAATATAAGACACAAAATTCTACTGAAAAAATTGAAGATTATATATTGACTTCAGAACTGTGTCCATGCCCATTTAGTAGTCATTTTTCACCTTTGTGCAATTCATGTTTTACAAATTTATAAAACTGAAGACACTGCTGATAAAAACATACAATCAAGCAGAAAGATTTCAGCAGCTTCAAACCAGAAAAGTACCTACTTCTACTTTATTTGTCCCAACAAGTGTTCATGCTGATTGCTATTGCCCTTTACGTTCTTTATATATGTCAATAAGTGCTTATGTCCTATAAGTGCTCATGTCCTATATGTTCCAATAAGTAATGTCCCAATAAGTGTTCATCTTCCAGTGTCCTTACAAGTGCTTGTATCTTGTCTAGGGTGCAATGATAATATTGGTATACCACAATACACAAAAAAATTGTACCATATTGTGGTACTAAAACTATATACTTGTGTATTATGATATACATGACGTATAACATTTAAAGCAGTTTATACTTTTTGTTTTTAGTCTTACCTAATACAAGTGATTTCCTTTATTTACTTGTGCTGTTTTTATTGTGTTCACAGCTTTTTAAATGTTACATAATGTTTTTGTGAACTCAAGGTATAATCTAAAACTTCTATCTTTTCACATTGTGTTAGAGAATTTCTCATTTCAGAACAGAGATTCACAAATTAAATTAAAAATTATGAAGGGTGTAATAATTTCATAGGTTTTACCTACAGTTTTTTTTTATAATCATCTTATAGAAAAGTTATGCATGTTACTTAGGAAAGAATCTCTTCACGATTATGTTTTCTCTGATGTGTGTTAATGTTAAGCAAGTATTCCTTTTTGGACATTTTAAAGGACAAGGAAGGATAAGAGAGCCAAATTTGGCCTTATAGATGTAAAAATTAGAACACCCTTAAAATTCTTA